TAGAGGTTGGGGCAGCCAGTGCTGGGCTCAGTGCTCCCTGTAACTGAGTATTACTCAGAGTTACCTGGGAGTGGGGAGGATTGGAGTTAGTTCTACAAAATCTCTTTCAGCTTTGTAGATGAATTTCAAAATTACATCTAGCAGCTGCAGTCAGAAAACATGAAGCTTGGGGCTTATGCCTGTCTTCACATGGGAAGTGAAGGCAGAAGGGTCAGGAGTTCAGGGTCATCCTCAGTGACATACTGAGTTGAGGCTAGCCTGCACTACTTTAGACACTGTCTCAAAAAAGAAAGCAAAACAAAACAAGCAAAGCAGGCAAACAAAGCAGTAAAAAACAAAAACAAAACCCTGAAACAACAACACCCCTCACCCTCCATATATATTTATGTAGCTAGGGCTGCTGGGATGTAGCTCTTAGGTAGGCTTGGAGGCCCATGGTACAACCCCTAGAATCACAAAACAAAGCAATGAGAAAAAGTGTAGCTGGCCCTGGTTTCAGCTACAGCCTGTTGGTGTTCCCTTTTCTCATTTGACTGGTGGTCTAAGAGAGGAGCTGGCCTTTCTCTATAGTGAGCACAGTTCTTGAGAGGCATCCTCCCAACCTCATCTCACTTTTATTGTAATTTGGGCTCTGAGACAGCAGTACCTGTTCAGGTATAAGATGCATCCCAGGGGTCTTGAGCTGGTACTCGGTGTATGGAATATTTGCTGAATGATTGACTCAGTGATCTATAGGAGCTCAGTGTCATGGAAAGGCAGACACGGGGGCGGAAGCGGGGGCACACTATCAGTGGAGTATTTGGATTAGGTGTAGTGGGCACAAGGAACCATAGCTCTGCTAGGCAGACATGGTTGGATGGAATTAATTTTGGATGTTGAAGGCATTTGCTAGGAATACTGTGAGCACATGGATGATAAGAGAGTAAGGACAAAGAACTGAGTTAGAGTCCTGAAGCCCCAAGGCCAGACAGCAGAGGCAGAGGAAGCCCCAGGGTTGGGGAGGGCTGGAGAGAAATAGAGAGAGCCCTCTGAAATGTATGCAGTGAGCAGTCAGAAAGGCACTGGATTCCAGAAGAGGGCTGTAGTGAGGGGTGGGGTTAAGTGTGAGAGGGAAGCCATAAAGATAAGGTGCTTGCAGATATATATTATTTTTATAAATACAAGTGTAAAGGATTACTAGTAGTGCCTTTTAACAGTGTGCTTATGCAGTTATTCTGAAAGTAAAGGCCAGATAGTGTTATCTCAAGAAGTAGAGGTTAGAAGAACCTCAGTATGGAAGAGTAACCAGGGTCCTCAGTGACCTATGGTCTGCTTCCTTGTCTTATCAAATATTGAGTGTGATGCTGAAGAGGAATGTTTGATATTGACCTTGAAACTTCGATTCTGTGAGACTATCATTTGGGGCCTGGTATTTGTCTGGCAGCACTTTTTTCTGACTTACATAATAGAGATAATGTAAATATTTACTACACAGGCTTGCTAAGGACTGGGTGAGTGAAGCACTAGGGTATTGATGACATGTAGTAAGCACGAAGCCCATGTTAGCAGTTTTGAATCCTGAATACCTTGTAGACATCTATAATTTTTGGGACAGTCTTTCTACACAGCCCAGACTGGCCTTGAACTCTCGTTCCTCTGTTATCTGCCTCCTAGGTGCTGGATTTCAGGCACTGCATTCTTTTAAATGTATTACCTATTGTATTACCAAAATAATACCCCCCCAACAACTTCATTGTAGAATAATTTACATGTCTGGAAAGTAGACTGTTCAATAGTTCTTAAAAATAAGCACTATGTTATATTGTAACCTTTTTAGGACATTTTCCTAATCTGAGTAAGATCTTGAGTTCTTTTACAGTTTATCCTTACTTCTACCTCCCACCTAGGTAACTTTGTTTACTGATGCTTTATTTATAGAATTGCCTTTTCTGGGGGGTTTCATGTAAGAAGACTAAACACAATCAAATATGGTAACCTATAACTGTAATCCCAGCACTTGGGAGGTAGGTGTGTGAGGCTTGAGGCTAACCTGGGCTACATAGTGAGACACTTCTCAAAAAGAAGTAGTTTTATAATATATGGCCTTTGGTGTTTGGTCATTTCCATTTAGTTTTATGAATTTTTTTGTGGGGGGGTTCATATCATTTTGTAGCTCTTACTAGAACTTCATTCCTCTTTATTACTGAACTGTATTCTATTCTGAAATACATAATGCTTTGTTTATCCATTCACCAGTAAATAGCCATTTGTTTATTTCCACTCCTGCTATTGTGAATAATGTCTCTATGCACATTTTGTACAAGGCTTTGTGTGGACATATGCTTAATCGCTTCTTAATTGGTCCTTTAGTCTCCTCCAGGGTCCTTCCTCTGTTCTTACCCTGCTTCAATCTGTTCTCTATGCTGTAGCCAGAGTGATCTCTAAAATGTAAATCTGATTATGTTATTACCCTGCTGTAAATCCTCAGTGCCCCTGAAACTTAGTTTTTACTAAGCTCAAACTTTGTTTCCTAAGAGTTTTAAGATCGGAAATACCCACCTTTTTCTATATCCCTTTCACTATGGTTGATTACTCATTCACTCATTTACTCACTCATTTACTCACTCATTTACTCACTCATTTACTCACTCATTCACTCATTCATTCATTCATTCATTCATTCATTCATTCATTCATGTATAGTGGTCATTAGTTGCCTAATTATTGTATTTTTCATGCTTATTGAGTCTGAGGATATAGTGATAGGACATCAAAACCTTTGCTCTTTTGTCATCTTTTTCTGTAGTGGAAAGGAGCAAACAGTAGTGTCAGACATTGGTAAGCACTGTCACGAAACTACAAAAGGATAATGAGTAGTGACCGTGGACCTGTGACTCAAATCTGCAGGCTGGAGTGTTCCCCAGAGCCTCCGGCCTGTTGTCAGCTGCCTGCTTGATTTCTCCACTTGATGGTCTAGTGGTGGTAACCCCATTTCTATACCCAATGTGGTTCTTTGCCCCATTGCTTTCTTTTCCTGAGGTCTCCAGACTTCCATTATAAGCTGGCAGCACCCTTCATGGCACACTTAAATGCCTGGGCTCTTGATGGGTTTGAATTCTCCAAGTCTAGCCTATTCTTGGTGCAGAGTTAATGCCTGATAAAAGCTGTTGAAAGCAATTGTGAGTTCTTAGCCTTGAACACTTGAACAGGATGGAAGAAGATAGGAAGGGAAGGAAGAAGCAGAGAGAGACAGAGAGAGAGAAAGAGAGAGAGAGGGAGAGGGAGAGGGAGAGGGAGAGGGAGAGAAGGGAGGAGCAAGTTGAGATCTGTTAACACATACATGCATGCATACATACATACATACATATGTATTTACTAAATATTTACTGAATGAATACTGAAGGAGTTCTGGTGCTTGTTTTTTTTCTGAGATTATAATTTAGTGCACAGCACAAGCCAAGAAACATTTGCAATAAGCACTTAGTAGTACAGTAGAGGAGATAAAGGTGTAGTGCTGTGGGTGTGGCCTGGAATCGTGAGCTTTTGCTTGTGTGGGTCTAGTTGAGCAGGCCGTTCGCTCTGCAGGACGGTACAGCTGGGGGTGGCTTGGATGCAGTGCACTGCCTTGTTTCTGTCTCATCACTTTCATTCTCATGTCCCTTTTCAGCTTTCAGACAATGTGATCGATCGGATGAAGGAGTCCACTCCATCTGGCTCTAAGTCTCAGCGATATTCCAGTGTTTATGGTGCTTCAGGTATGGTGGCCTTCTTATTTTAGGGGTTGTTCATTAAACAATCCTAAGTAGGGAAGTTGACCCAATCATCGAGCCCAGCTGCTCTTTGTCTTTGGTATTTGGATGTTCAGCTTTTAGGGTGAATGTTAGAAATCAGTACTAGAGTTTCCTTTAAAATGCTTAGCTTGCTTTCAAACTTGTGAACTTTTGCTTTCTTACCCAGCTCCTAACCCCTTTGCTGACCTGTGTGCTCATGCAACATGTATTTCCTGGGCACCTGGCTGTGTGTCCAGCACTTGTCTTTTTTCTCATCTGTAGATAGACCCAGCTCATGTTAGCTGGGCAGGTGCTCTACCGCTGGGCTCTATCCCTAGTGCTTTCCCACTGTTCCTGATACTGCCTGAGGAAATGGCTGAGCATGCAGCTGACTGTGAAGTCACAAGAACAGTGTGCGAGTGATTACTCTTGGATGGAGAGTTCTTGGAGTTTATTTGAAAGGCTCATTTGGCTGCAGGTTATAAAAGGGAGAAAGATGAGCTGTCATGCACTTGCCACTCTGAGCTGGGCGCGGTTGTGACCCTCAAACTGACCATTAAGTTGGCAACATAATTTGAGCTTCTGATACCAAGCATAATCAGGAACAGCTTAGTAGGAGTGCTGAACCATCTTCATGGTTAATTAGCAAGATGAAAAGCAAGCACATAGCCAACTTAAGCACACATCCATAAGCTCATTTATTCGTCTACAGACCTGCTGTTCTGCCCCATTTTTTCCAGGAAAGAACAGAGAATCAACCCCCTAAATGGAGCTGAATTTTTCTTTTTCTTTTTTCCTTACTGTTTACATTCAGCCAGTATCTGATCTTGTCAATGGTATGTCTAAAATGCATTTGAATGTACCCTTTCTGGCCCATCTCTACTGCTGCAGTCCAGATAGCAATCATCTCCGATGTCTGCACATATCACACGCTGTGCTGTTTACGTGGCAGCTTTCCGGGGCTCGTGAGAAATGTGCGTCAGCTCACAGACTCAGGTGCTTCTCTGTGGGATGTGATGTGGTGTGGCCTGAGACACAGCACTGTGACCGGCCGGCTTCTGTCTTCCTTTTCACAGTTAGCCGTCACTTACCTCTCCCCCGCTTGCTCTGCTTGCTCACTCTGGGAACTCATGGGCCTCTGCCCTTATCTGCTCACGGGCAAGTTCCCAGCTCCTTGGGTAATACCTGCTTCTCAGTGCGTGCTGATTCTCAACTGTTGAATTGAATCAGGAAAACGTCTATTACATATTTTAAAAGTAACTACTTTTGATCATTTTAGGATCTAATTTTATAAATCCAGGCCACATTTACCAAATGCCTGCATTATAAATAATGAAGCTTTTTGAGTTGTTTCAAAGAGCTGGGATTTTGTACAGATATAACTAAATGCCTAATAAGACTGTAATGAAGGTAGAACTAGATCTTAAACAACAGACCCTATTTTGGTTTAGGAGTAAATTTTAATTTCGCATATTCCTGAATTTGGAACTTGTTTTAAAATTGGATTGGTTCTGCTTTGTTAAGGCAGACACTGAAGAAATGAGGAGTAAGAAATGATACTTAAAGGAGTGGTGCTAAATTCTTTATCTCTTACCCAGTCTTATTCTTAAAAGCCTCCGAGAAAGGAACTGTTACTAAGGCACTTTCTGCAGACGGAAGCTGGGAAACAGCTTGATTAATGATTTTGCCCACAGTCACACAGCCGGTGAGCAGCAGAGCTGAGGGTTGAACTCATCCGTGTGACTCCAGAGCACATCCACTCCATTTTATGACAGTTGCGTGACCCCCTGCTTCTTTTGTAGGAGAGATGTGAGGGAAACTTGTAGGAAGGCAGGAACTGCCTTAGATGTTCTGCTGGACTTAGGAGAGAACCTTCTGAGAGTTTCTTCAAGCTCTTGTACTGAGTCTTATTCTGTAATGAGCTGAAGGACAGAAAATGTTTTCCTTTTGGCATTGGCTTAAAAAAAAAAGAAATTAATTAATTCATGTGTATGTGTGTATGTGTGTGTGTGTGTGTGTGTGTGTATGTCTGTGTCATAGCGTGGATATGAAGGTCAGAGGATAACATTGTGGGATTAGTTCTTTCCTTCCTCCTTTACTTGATTCTGGGGATTGAATTCAGGTTGCCAGGCTTGCAGGGCAAGTGCCTTTGCCTGCTGAGCCATCTTGCCCCTGGAGTTGGTTTCTTAAACTGACACACTGAGACAGTTAAGGCTGGCCTGCTGACTTTTGTGAGTGCCCATGGCATCTATGACCCAAGAGCCAGGCATGGATGGTGTGATAGCTTGGCTTTCTTGAGGAATCTGTCTGTTCCAGTTCCAGGTTTGACATGACAACAGACTGTGGCCCATGCTCAGCTGTGACCATCCTGGGCACTGAGGTCATTAGAATACTACCTTGTGATCAGACTAGACTTGTTTTCACTAAAGAGTAGCCACTAGTTACCTTTGACCATTAAAAATTATATGAAAACTAATGAGAAGGAAATACAATGGAAATGTGTTTTTCAGGTACACTCACTGATGGCTTCTGGCCTGCAGGAAGCTCTGCTGTGTGGTTTGGGCCTGAGACTCACCAGTTCTAGGCATTTCCAGTTTCATCAAGTGCTGCAATGATGTGACTGAGGCTGTGTGGCCAGATGGTTCTGATTTTGGCGGCTTGTGACTCTGTCCCTTCCACATCACTCAACCTAGGACTATCAGTAATAGGAATTTTCAGAGCATTCTGTGGAGGCGCAGTATCTTTTCAACCGTCTTGGACACAGCTTCCCAACAGGTGGCTAAGAGCAAGCTGGAGTTGTTGGCTCCTCATGCTTGGAGCAGCTGGATCACGTATCTGGAAACATGATAGGAAAAAAGATCTAGAAAGGGTATGGTGTGGTTTTCTTCCCCATAACCTAAGCCAAGAGGAGAGCGAACACTGGCATGGTATTTCGAAATGATCTTGCCTTTAGGTCAAGAAAACAACTAGACTGTGATTGTGTAAATTAACAAACATTCATTCTTAAAATTAAAAAAAAAATAGTTGGTAAAAGTACTAGCCTTAAAATTCATGTTTTCTTCTAAGTTTCTCTCATTGGGGTTTTAGTCAGTGCTCAGTAATAGAGTTCTTACAATTCATAATTCAGATGTGTTGTGAAATAATTTTTCAAGTCTACAAAAGTATATTGATGAAAATGTCACCAGCTTTTTCTACATTTTTCAATGTCAAGTAAATTATATATTAAATGTGACCTGAATTTTTAATATTTATTAAAATGCTTTCTTCCAGGATTTTTTTCATACTAGCCCTAGGCTATTCATATGTATGAATATAGGGCAGCATATTTGATGGACTGAGAGTCGTAGGATTTCTGAGTATAAAAGCTAAGATTTATCAAATGCACATGTATGTAAATAAAAATATGTGTATATATCTATGTATATAGTTGGAAAATATAATTTATACTCTACAAAAGTAATTTTTTTTAAGGCTGAAACTTTTTTTTCCTTTTTTTTTTTTTTTTTGAGAAACTTTGAACCAGATCAATGACTCGTTGCAATAAGTATTTGCATGTAAAGCTGTTTGGGAAAAATAATATACTATGTGACACACAGCAGATTGCAACGGCACTGTAATAAATGAATGTACTCTAAAGAACTTAACTGTGTCCTTGCTGCCTGGAGTTGTGTGCTGCAAATCAGAACTATGTTGAGTTGCCTTTATACCAGCTAATTCTTTTCTGAGCCCTATGCCATTGTGTGTAGTTACATACTTACCTTTTTAGTAACATTTTACAGCTTTTGATTTTAAAAATCATTGTTCACTATTGGTCTTTCTTCCCTTCATCTTGATCTTTTAGTTTTGCTGGCTTGTGGTGAAGTCAGAGCTCTCATATTTGATCCTATCCACCCCTAAGAAACTGTTTCCAGATCAATATGAGAAAATCAGACAGGAAATGGTAGTAGGAGAGTGTTTATTGGTTTCCTAAGTCACTGGCGACCTGATGAAAATGATAAATTCAGGAAAAAAGAAAGACAAATGAGCTCATTCTTATTATTATTTTCCATGTGGAAGTTTCTTTGTAGATTTCTTGTCATTGTGAGAAATAGGAAAGATTTCCCGATTTGTGTTAAGCGTATTGCTGAGATCACTAAGTATTTGGCAACCTTAACAAACTGCAGGAAACCAATTTGAGCAGGAAATAGCACAGCCTAAACTAAGCAGCCAATTTAGGGAAACAGATTCATCTATATGTTGTATGTATTTTTCTCCCAGAATATGGCCCTTCTAGTTATTTTAAACAGCTCTTTAAGGCTCATTTAGACACAACACCGTAGGGAAATTTCAAAGTCAACCAGTTCTACTTACTGCTTTGACTGGAGTTTTCACATCTGAGTGAAGGTGCAGTGTTTTAGGTCTCCTTCATTCATGTGTGAAACTTTGTGCATGCCAGTATCCTAATCTGTAGTTTTTGCATTACTGTAATGGATAATTTGCCCAGAGTTTCCAAAGCATTAAGTCTGAATCTCTAATGAGTACATCCTGCTTCCAAAAGAAGATCGGTAGGCAGTCCGTATTTAATGAGTGATGAAAAAGATACAGGACTTGTTCCTTCTGTGAACAGGTATTGGTATGGCAGTGATCTTGGACTTCAAAGGCCAGTTTGGTCAAATCATAGTTAACCTGATGGTGCTGTGCAGGGTTTCTGAGGAAGCAGACCAATATGCAAATGAGATGAGAGTGCACATCCAAGTGTGGAAGGCTCGTAGGAAAGAGAAGCAGGGCAGAAGTGTGAGTTGCCATGAAGGCATGTGAACTTGAGGCCAGCCTCCAGGAGAAAGGGATCTGAGCACTCTTAATGTGGCAGATACTCTTGTAGAGTCAGTTTGTAGAGCAAATTAATTCTGATGAGGTTTGGGGCTTACCCAGTAGTATAGGGTAGAGGAGTTCAGGAGCTTTGTTTTATCTTCTGTGGTCCTGGCAACTACTGAGGAGTTCTGTCT